TGTCCTCCTCCTGTCTCCCCAGTCTCCTTATGACCCCACAACGACCCCTCTGAACCTCCCAGATCCTTCCCTTATCTTCCTGTGTCCCACCCCCCATGTGCCATCCCTAACCCTCTCACGTTCCCCCATTTCCCCCTACCCCTTCCCCTATCTCTCTCTGTCCCCCCACCATGTCCTCCCCTGACCACCCTATGTGCCCCCCGTGTTTCCCCAGGTCACCCCCGGTTTTTCAACCAGCTTTTCTCGGGGCTGGACCACCACGCCCTGGCTGGCCGGTTCCTCACTGAGACCCTCAACACAAGCCCGTGAGCCCCTGACACCCCCAAAGAGGGGCTGGTGGGTGGGGGGACCCCCCAAAAACCTGCTATGACCCTCCCCTCCCCCAGATCCACCTGTGAGGAGCCCCTGGTGCTGATGGAGTGGGAGGTGCTGGGGGGAGGGTTTTGGGGTGCTGAAGTTTGCAGGGAGGGTTTTGGGGGTGTTGAGGAGCCCAAATGAGAAAGGTCCCACCAAAACCCTGTCCTGACTCCCCTGATCTAGCCCCCAGTGTTGGTGCTAATGGAGTGGGAGGTGCTGGGGGGAGGATTTTAGGGTGCTGAAGTTTGGAGGGAGGGTTTTGGGGGTGTTGAGGAGCCCAAATGAGAAAGGACCTGCCAAAACCATCCTGACTCCCTTGATCTAGGCCCCAGTGTTGGTGGCTCCATCCTCCCTGATGAAGGGGGGGGTCTGGGGGGAGGGTTTTGGGGTGCTGAGGCTCTGGGGGAAGTTGTTTGGGATTCTGAGGTTTCAGGGGGAGGGGAACCCTCCGACTCCTGCTGGGCCCTTCCAGGTACACATACGAAGTGGCCCCAGTGCTGGTGCTGATGGAGGAGCAGGTCCTGGTCACGCTCCGGGAGCTCGTGGGGTGGAGCAGCGGCGATGGGATCTTCGCTCCCGGTATCCCGGACCCTTCCTGAGGGGTATCCCTGTCCCCCCTCTCCCCCTGGCAGCCTGTCCATGGTGCACTGAGGGTGAAACAGGGGTCCCTGTCCTGGGCAGGGGGATCTATATCCAACATGTTGGCCATGAACGTGGCGCGATTCCGGCGTTTTCCGGAGAGCCGGAGCAGAGGGAACTGGGACCTGCCTCGCCTGGGCCTGTTTGCATCTCAGGAGGTGGGAGTGGGGGCTCGAAGTCACCCCAAAACCCAATCCTCAGGGTCGTCCCAATTCTAATCCATGGGGTCATTCCAAACCTTATTCCTGGGGTCACCCCAAAACCTGATACCTGGGGTCATCCCAAATGTGGCCCCCTGAGGTCACACTGAACCTGATCCCCTAGGTTACTCCAAATCTGATCCCTGGGATCCCCACAGAACCTGATCCAGGGGTCACCTGGGGTCATCCCAAAACCTGATTCTGGTGTCACCCCAAAGCTGATCCTTGGAGGTTGCCCTAAACCTGATCCATGGGGTCATCCCAAAACCTGGTCACTGAGGTTACCCCAAAACCTAGCCCATGGGGTCACCCCAAGTCTGGTCCCTGAGATTACCCAAAAACTGGGGTTACCCTGAGTCTGGTCCCTGAGGTTACCCAAAATCTGGTTCCTGGGGTCCCCCCAATCCCGGTTTTCTTTTCCTGCCCAGAGCCATTATTCCATCCTAAAAGGAGCGGCTCTCCTGGGAATTGGCACGGACAATGTTCACCTGGTGCGGACAGATGAGAGGTGGGTGCTGGGAGGTCCCAGGGGACCCCACGTCAGGGGGTTCCTCCATGTATCCATCCCTGTCCCTTCCCCTCAGGGGGAAGATGATCCCAGAAGAGCTGGAGAAGGAGATCCAGAGGGTGAAAGCTGAGGTCAGGAGAGGCTGCACACCCCATGTTCCCAAAGCCCCTCAAAGTCTCCAATGCTTTCCCAGTATCCCCGACAGCCTTCCCAGTGTTCCCAAAGCTCCCTCAAAGTCCGTTTGTCCCCCTCTAAGTCCCCAAAGACTCTCCAATGTTCCCAAAGCCCTTCCCATGTCCACAAACCAACCCCCATGTCCACCAATGTCCTCCCAAATAACCTGAATCTCCTCCAATGCCCCCCCCCCCACTGTCCCTTCAACTCTTCAATGCACCCAATGTCCCCTGTCCTCCCCAGGCCTCCTGTCCCCCCTTAAAGTCAGTCCCCTGTCTGCCCCAAAGTCCTCTGTATCCCATTTCCTGCACCCCCAATGTCCCCCTGTATCCTCCAGCCCCCCCAATCTACCTCCTGGGCCCCCTCAAAGTCCCCCCAAATGCCCACCCAGGGCTCAGAGCCCATTCTTTTTCTGTGCCACCATCCTGGCCACCTTTGACCCTCTGTCCCCCCTGTCCCCTATCTCCCAAATGCCCCCCAAGCCTTCCTTGATCAACCAAACCCCCTCCAGATCCCCTCCAAATCGCCCCCAAAGCTTGCCCAAATGCTCTCTCAGGACTCAGAAACCCTTCTTTTTCTGTGCCACCATCCTGGGCACCTTCAGCCCTCTGTGTCCCTCTGTCCTCCATTCCCCAAATCCCCCTCAAGCCTCCACAGGTCCCCCCAAGCCCCCTCAGATCGTCTGCAAATCCCCCTGAAGCCTTCCCAGACTCCCCCCCAACCCTTCCCAAAGCTCCTCCAAATGCCCTCCCCACCAGGACTGGAGCCCCTTTGTGTGTGCCACCATCCTGGCCACCTTTGACTCCCTGTGCCCCCCTGCCTTCTACCCCCTTCCATGCCCCCTGCACCCCCCAATACCCCCAGACCCCTCCCTAATCCCTCCCAGGGCTCGGAGCCCCTCTTTGTGTGTGCCACGAGTGGCACCACTGTCCTGGGTGCCTTCGACCCGCTGGACGCCGTCGCCGACATCTGTGCCCGCCACGGGCTGTGGCTGCATGTGGATGTGAGTTTGGGGGTGCCTGGCTGGGGGGGCTCGGGGGTTCCCCTGTGGGTGCTGATCCCCCTTTCCCTGCAGGCAGCGTGGGGGGGCAGTGCCCTCCTGTCCCCCCGACTCCGTCACCTCCTTGCCGGCATACACAGGTGTGTCCCTCCCTCTGCCCCTGCAAAAGACTCCCACCCTTCCCCCTCTGAGCTTTTGGGGATACCCTTTTCCATGGGGCCCCCCTAAACTCTGCTGTCCCCCCGCAACAGAGCCGACTCGGTGACCTGGAACCCCCACAAGCTGCTGATGGTGGGGTTGCAGTGCTCAGCATTCCTGCTCCGTGACAGCTCCGTAGGTGCCCCCCATCCTGAATTCCTGCCTCTGGGATGCCTCCCGGGCCACCTCATTAATTTTGGTGCCCCGTGTCTGTCCCAGGGACTCCTGCAGCGCTGCCATGGCGTGGGAGCCTCGTACCTGTTCCAGCGGGACAAGTTCTACGACGTGTCCCTGGACACGGGGGACAAGAGCCCCCAGTGCGGCCGCCGCGCCGACGGCCTCAAGCTCTGGATCCTCTGGAAAGCCGTGGGAACCAAGGGGCTGGCACAGCGTGTGGAGCGGGCATTCGGTGCCACTCGGTGAGCCCCAGGATGGGGGGGACCCTCCACCCTCCCAGACTTGGCTTCACCCCTTTGCTCCCCCCAGGTATCTGCTGGAGCAGGTGAAGAGGAGGGAGGGATTCCAGCTGGTGATGGAGGTAAGGGTGATGGCGGAATGTGGGATGGGGGATACGGACACCTAAGAGTCCTGGAGGTTGGAATGCCACAGGTTTGAATCATCCTGGAGTTTTAACTCCCAGGGGATTAATCCCAAAGGTTTGAATCCCCAAAGTTTAAATTCCAGAGTTTTCAATCCCTGAGGCTGAAATCTCAGAGGTTTGAATTGTCCCAGAAATTTAGACTTGGAGGTTTAAATCCCTGAGAACAAATCCCAGAGGTTTAAATCCCAGAATCTGAAATCCTGGAGTTTGGAATTCCACAGGTTTAAATCGTCCCAGGGGTTGAAATCCCAGAGGTTGAAATCCTGGAGTTTTAATCATCCTGGAAGTTTCCATTTTGGAGGTTTAAATCCCGGAGGATTAAATCCTGCAGGTTCCAATCCCAGACAATTAAATACACATGTCTGAGTTACTGGAAGTCTGAATCCCTATCAAATTCTGGGAATTGGGTGAATGGCCATGATCTCCTTCCTCTTTCTCTTCCTGCAGCCGGAATTTATCAACCTCTGCTTCTGGTTCATCCCGCCCAGCCTGCGGGGCCAGGAGAGCTCCCCGGAATTCTGGGACAAACTGGGAAAGGTGAGCCCAGAATTCCAAATTCCTCCCACCACCAACAGCCTTCCAAATCCCAAAAAAATCACCTAAAAATAACAACAAAATCCTCACGAAATGGTGTTTCCCCATAGGTGGCCCCAGCCATCAAGGAAAAGATGATCCGGAGGGGCTCCATGATGGTGGGATACCAACCCCACGGATCCCAAGTCAACTTCTTCCGGCAGATTATCACCAATCCTGCTGTCACTCGCCAGGATCTAGACTTCTTCCTGGATGAGATACAGGAATTGGGATGGGATCTATGAGCACTCCCAAAAACCCCTGTGAAAGACCCCAAAACCTTCCCCCCATCCCTGAGGAAGAGGAGCAGAGCCTTGATTTCTTCCTCACATCCCAAAATTGAAAATGACCCTAAAATTCCATACTTATGGAATAAAACAGCATTTAATGGTCCTGATCTGATATAATTTGATATTATAATTTGATATAACCCCACCCTCAATATGGGGTTTGGGGTGTAGGGCGTCCCTTAATTCCCCTGGAAGCTGTGGAGGAGTTTGTGGATTCTGGGATCAGGATGTAGTGGCCTTGTGACTCTCCTGACATTCCCAGGACTTCTTGAAGCTCCAGAGGTTGGAATTTGTATGGAAGAGGATCTGTCAGTACCCAAAAAACTCTTGGGAGAGTACTGCAAAACCTTCTGCATCCATCCCTGAGGAAGTGGAGCAGAGCCTAGACTTCCTTCTGGGATCTTTAAATCAGGAATAAAGATGGATGTTCTCAGCGCCTGATCCCAAAACTCCACACTCATGGAATAAAACAGCATTTAATGGTCCCAATTTTATATTAATTTGATATCACACTCCCTCCCCCAGAAATCGAGTTTGGGGGTCCCTCAATCCCCCAGGAGACCCTGGAGGATGTCGAGGATTTCAGGATTGACCCGGGCACGCTCAAGGCAGGCTAGGAGCTGGGACACTGTGGCTTCCTGTCGCTGCTGCCGCTGCCACTCCCGCAGCATCTCGAAATTCCACAGGATGGGATTGCCAGGATTTTCCTCCTGGATCTGCTCCAGCCGGATCCGCTCTAGCCCTAGATGCAGAATTCCCACCTCCTGCCACTCTTTTCCCAATTTTTGGGCGACTTGCATCAACTCCTTCTCGGTCAAGCGTCGGGAATTCACGGGTGGAGCTGGAATCCCTCCAGGATGATGTCCTGAAGTGGGGTCCCCCCTCACCCTGGGGGTGTCCCCGTTAGGTTCCCCGGGAGTTTCCTCCGAGATTTGCTCTTCCAGGGGCAGCTGGAAGCGCTGGATGAGGTCGAGGCGGCCGATCTGCCGCAGGATCCCGGCAGTCACACGCAGGGAATCCCCCGGGAAGCGCTGGAGGAGGATCCGGCACAAATCGGGGCGCGATGCCGGGAGCACAGGCCTGGATGGAATTCGCCCTTCCAGCAGGAACTTCAGGCTCTGGAATTGCTCTTCCGGGAGTGCCTGGTACACCTCCAGCAGCGTCGCCCGCTCGTCCCTCGCCATTGGGGCACAAAATCCCACAGGGAAATGGGGTCACTCTTGGGACACAAGGGCTGGGAGAGAGGAATCACCACGCAGCTCAGAAAGTGGGGGGAAAAAAGGGGCCACCCCTGGGCCCCAAAAATTCGGGGTGTGGGTTGAAAGGGGTCACTCTGTGCTCCATATATTGGGGGTAGATGGGTCACCGCCCACTCCGAGGGCTTTCCTGGTGCCCCCGGTGTCCCCACCCTGCCCCGGGGTTGAACCCTCCCAGCGTCACCCTAGAGTACCCCACCCTACCCTAGGCCTGAGACTGCCGGGTGTCACCCCAGTGAACCCCCAGCCCTGGGACTGGGTCCCCCCAGTGCCTCCCCATCCTTCCCTGCGCCTGGGACCCCCAATGTCACCCCTGTGCCCCCACCCTGTCCTGGCTCCCCGCGATGCCCTTCCCGATGTCCCCGCCGTGTGACAAGTGCCCTTTGTTCCGGGTCCCCACGATCTCGCGGCGCCCTCGGTGCCCCCCTGGCCCCGATTCCCACTGTTCTCTCCCTGAAGCCCCCCGTTCTGCCCCCGCCGCCGCCCCGCTCTCACCGCGCTCCGTTCCCGCCACGGCGGTTCCGTTTACGGGAAGCGGACCGGGGTTCCGCGCAGGGGGCGTGGCCTAGCGCTCCCGCCAAAGCGGCTGCCATGGCAGCGGGGGCGGGGCCCGAGTCTTCCTTCGGGCGCGGCCTGCCCGGGGCGCCGCCTGCCCGGGGCGCGGCGAGGCGGGGGGTCGCCCGCAGCGGGATCCTGAGCGTCCTTTGGGGGCTTCGAGGGCTGTTCGGGGGTGCGGGAAGTGAGTCTTGGGCCCAGTGCTCAGTCCCGAGTGCCCCAAGTGCCCCCAGTATCTCCCAACAGTCGTCGATCCCCCCAGTCCTTCAGTCACTTCCAGTACCCCCCGTGCCCCCAGTCTCTCAGTCCCCCCAGTAACCCCCAATCCCTCAAACCCCCAGTATCCTCCAGTTCCCCAATTCCATCAACCCCCAATCCCCTGGTACTCCCAGTCCCCCAAGTCCTCCCAATGATTCAGTCCCCCCAGTATTCTCCAGCCCTTCCATTCCCCCAGTAACCCTGAGTAAGCCCTCAGTAGTCCCTGCAATTCCTTAGTCCCTCCAGTATCCCTCAACACACCCCAGTCTTCCTCAGCCCTCCCGCATCCAGTGGTCCCCAGGCCCACTAGTATCCCCCCAATTCCCCAGTTTCCCCAGTCCCCCCACTTCCCCAGTCCGCCCAGTATCCCCCCAATCCCCTCAGTAACCCCCAGTTCCCATTTGTCTCCATTATCCCTGACACCCAGTATCCCCCAGTCTCCCCAGAAACCCATTATCCCCCAGTCTCCGCAGTCACCCCAGTATCACCCAATCCCCCCAGTCAGTAGCCCCCATATCCCCGTGTGTCCCCCACATCCCCCAGCGTCCCCGAACCGCAGCCTCCCCAAAGTGTCCCCCGCAGTGTTCCCCCAACCAGGCTGACCTGGCCACCCCTCCCCCGACTCCCCCAAGTCCATCGCACCACCGATGGTGGGAGGGTCCTTATTGTTCCTCCCTCTTTTTGTTTGGGGGGTGGGCTCCCTCCCTGGGGCGAGTTTGGGGAGGGTCGCCCTGGACAGATTTGGGGGAGTCGGAGGCCTCCCCCTCAGCGCGTGGGAGCCCTTCCCTGCGCCTGGCCTTGTCCGATCCCCCTGAGCCCCCCCCGTGCTCCCCAACAGTGGTGAGTGGCCGCCGGGGACATCCCCCCCAAACTGAGAGTAAGCAATTCCCCTCGCCCCCCGCCCCCCTCGTTCTTTTCTTTTTCCTCTTCCCCTTCCCAGAGCCCCCCGCGATTTCTGAGTTGCGGGAGGAGGGGTGAGAGGAAGGGACCCCCCCAGATATAGGGGTTCCGCCATGGGGGGAGTGGGAGGGGCTGTGGGGTGGGACGAGGGCAGTGACATCATGTCACTGTGTGTGTGACCCCAGCATGAGGAGGGGGACGGAGGGCATTGGGGCAAGTGGGATCCCTCCCTTGGGGGCGGCAGCGACCCCCCCTTGGGCTGTCCTCGGGTCACCCCTGTTCTCTCCCTGCTCCCTCTCTCCCCCCCGGCAGGGTCCTTCTGTCTAGGGGACGGCGGCAACGGACGTGGGTGGGGTGTCGGCCCCCGAAACCCCCCCGGCCCCACGGATCCCCGAGAAGCCCCGCTGCTCGAGGGCCCCCCCAGTGATGAGACCTCTCCAGCTCCCCCAAAAGAGGCCTTTGGCCACAGTAAGAGGTTCTGAGGGGGCCCCCTGGAATCGTGGAGGGGGGATGGGTGCTTTTTTTGGGGTCCCCTAGGGACCTGTCATGGGGGGAGACCCTGCCCCCGTGGTACAGGGAGACCTCAAACCTGAAGGAGGGACCCGGGTCCCAGGGGGTCCCAGGGATGTCGGGGTGGTGTGGTCCTGTGGTGTAGACGGACCCCGATCCCAGAATATGGAGGTGACCCCATCCCAGGGTAAGGCAATCTTAGGAATGTTGGGGTGGCCCATTCCCAGGGCACAGGGGTACTTCAATTCCAGGGTAAGGGGGAACAGAGATGTGAGAGTATCCTGCTCCCATTGTGTGGGGTACCCCAGTTCCAAGGTATTCCCATTTCACATGCCCCAGGATACAGGGGTGTCACGTTCCTGTGGCTGGGGGTACACCAGTTCCAGGATCTGGGGGTGCCCCAGGGATGTGGGGGTGTCCCAGTCCCATGGGATGGGGTACCCTGATCCTGGAGTATGGGGGTTCCCCAATTCCAGGATATGGGAATCTTAGGAATGTGGGGTTGTCTTATGCCCATGGTGTGGGGTGCCCTTTTCCCAGGGTACGGGGCTGGCCCAATTCCAGGGTTGGATGGTGTCCCGATCCCACAGCTCAGGGGTACCACAGTCCTGGGGTGCAGCGATATCTCATTCCCATGGAATGGGGGTGCCCTGATTTTGGGGTGTGAGACTGTCCCAGTCTCACATATGGGGATGTCCCAGTTTTGGGATGCAAGGTTGCCCCAAAACCATGGCATAAGGGTGTCCTGATTTTGGGGTGCAGGGGGTTTTCTGGGTACCCCAACTTGATCCCTGGTTTCCAGAGGGAATTTGGTGGTGCCACCCCTGGGTGGTACCACCTTGTTGTCTGTTCCAACCCCTGGCCCTCCTTGCACCCCAATCCCAGACCCTTGTCTGGGGGGCAATGGGGAGCTGGGGGGAACTGAACTCGGGCTTTGGAATACGATAGGGATAGGGATAGGGAAGGGGAGGGAGGAGGTGGCAACAGGGATGGGGAAGGGGGAAAAGGGATGGAGAAGGCTCAGAGGAGGTGGAGAAGGGGAAGAGGGGATGGAGAGTGTGAATAGGGGATGGAACAGATAAGGATGGGAAAAGGAAAGGGAAAAGAGGATGGGAAAAGGGGAAGAGGGGCTGGAGAAAGGTGAGAAAGAGAATGAGGAAAGGACAGTGGGAGTAGAGCAGGTACAAATAGGATAGAGAATGTGGAAAAGGAGTGGAAAAGGAAAAGAGGGGATGGAAAATGGGAAGAAGGATGAAGGTACCAGTGGGACCAAGATGAGACAGAGGGCCTGGAGCAGGTGGCAGTTGGAAAGGGCAGGTGTCATTGGGATGGAGCAGGCGGCAAGGGGCCCCAGGCCCCTGTCCCTGCCCTACCAGTGCCCATCCCCCTCTTGCACAGCCCATCCCGGCCCAGCCTGGCAATGCCGAAACCCCCCAGGCTCTCTGTGGGGGGACCAAGCCCCTTGAAGAAGCTGCTGAGGTCAGAAGGGGCCGGGCTGCACCCCACTATCTGTGGGGAGTGTGGGAAGGGCTTCAGCCAGAGCTCGGACCTGGCGCGGCACCACATCACCCACACTGTGGAGCGACCATTCACCTGCTGCCCCTGCGGGAAGGGCTTCAGCCAGAATTCCAACCTGGCCACAAAGCGGCGCATCCACACCGGGGATGTGTGCATCCACACACTCAGGATGTGCAGGGACCTAGATTGT